GAGAGAGAGAGAGAAAAGAGAGAGAGAGCGAGAGAGAGAAATACTGTAGGTGGGAAGGAAACAAGATGAAGAAATCCACGTCAATCAAAATTTATGGAAGGAGTGAGGGGAGCCAGCCACTGTCGGCATTGCCACAATGAGCCATTTGTCTTGACAGGAATTTTTTTTTCTCCTCCCTAAGATTACCATGTTATTCTGTGATTGTTCGTGGCGCGACCATGCGACGTCCTGGTCGGTTACCCCCCCCCCCACCCCAAAATTCTCAAGTGTTAAGACGATTGCACCCCGGAGGCCATCGTCGAATCTCGTAATCTTAACCTTAACATTTCATCCGGATAAAACCAGCTAAATAAAACTTGTCATTAGCCGGACCTGGACTGCAATACTTTCACTCACTCATGCATAGCCCCGGAATGGCCCCTACCTCTCTCCACCGCTCGCCTTCCATTCCATTAACAACCCACACACCCACCCTACCGGCAAACTCTTAACTATTCTCATTGTTACTGCAACAATATCTCTGAACACAGCAGTGGCCAGTAATCCAATAAGACCATTGATTAGCCCACAATGATTCAATTCAAACCTGTGGCCGCAGTGCAGGGAACATTCTCTGGCTCTTCTTGTCACCTTAGCTGGCCAGAAGCCCTCTTCAACCCGCCCCCCCCCCCTCCTTGAGTGCTATTCATGCCTTTATGGGAAACAGACAGCAAAAGAAGTGAAAGATGGCAATTATCTAATTGGACTATTAACAAACAATTCTGTGAGTGTGGCTGCCCGGCAGTTTTCTTGGGGTGGGTTTAAGGGCTGCGTGTTGGACTAACTTTATTCACAGAGTGTTTGGGGTGGGGGGTGGGGGGGGCTGCTGCTCAGAGTGGGGCAGGGTCTATTGTTTGACAAAAGTAAAGAAGGAGGCTAAATAGAGGGGGACTAAAAAGGGGGACCTGAGCTTCTCAAACTGCGACTGCGAGAACGCCTGGGAAAGAGACTGGTGGATTGGGCATCCTGTGCTCTCAATAGGCACAAAGGGAGAAACGATGTAATGATTTGAACCGTTACGTTCTCCCCCCCCCAAAAAAATATCTTACACTCTTTGCCAGCTGCACATCAGCAAGGAAAACCTCTGCAAACCGATACAGACGGTACATATTTACTCTGTTTCACTAGATTTTGTTAAAAAAAAAATTGTAAAAATGGCCCATATTTACATTATCCTTCTGATTCTACACCTGAGTGTTTTAGACCTCGGTGATTTGGTTTGTTTATTTGGAATAACTCACTGGATCCCCCCTGCTCTACCGCGGTCATCCTTGTTTTGGGTGATGCTGTGAACGCTGGAAGATACAGCCAGGCTAAATGGTCATCCGGATGACAAGTATGACACGAAAGCATTTGAAAAGCAATTTGGCTAGTCGCACAAAGTGTTGAACAAAACACGCGTACACGTACACCAGCACAGGGAAGAGCCCCGTGGTAGGCCAATCACCACGGGCCAGTCTAACACCACCATTACGGTCAAGGCTATTACGGTCATCAGTCTAACGCGACGAGGCTACAGGACATTCTTTGAAACACTGAACAATAAATCATGCCGTTATGTGACCGTTCTCCAGTCGCGTTCAGTATTACAAACCGGAAATTAGAGCCGCGCGGCGACAGGTTTAATACCATTTTTATAAATAAATACGTCCAGGAAGTAATCTGTGAACCAAAATGCGACCCGATGAGCGGGTTGTATTCAGTGTTTCTAGCAGCCAAACGAATCGTTAGCTTTATGTGCCGAAATCTGCTCTAGTCACACACAGGATGTTTTATAAAAAAAATAATGGGTTAACATAGGGAAGAGATGACCATGTGTATCCAACAATACCGTAATGCCCTCAGTAAGCGATCAGGGAGTTGATACTCTGTAGTCCAGGTATTAGGATGCAGGGCTACTTTGCATTTTGTGGCAATGCATTAAGGGCATTTTTTTTTTTTTTTTTTTTTTTTTTTGGGTGGGAGGGCTGCTGCTCAGAGTGGGGCAGGGTCTATTGTTTGACAAAAGTAAAGAAGGAGGCTAAATAGAGGGGGACTAAAAAGGGGGACCTGAGCTTCTCAAACTGCGACTGCGAGAACGCCTGGGAAAGAGACTGGTGGATTGGGCATCCTGTGCTCTCAATAGGCACAAAGGGAGAAACGATGTAATGATTTGAACCGTTACGTTCTCCCCCCCCCAAAAAAATATCTTACACTCTTTGCCAGCTGCACATCAGCAAGGAAAACCTCTGCAAACCGATACAGACGGTACATATTTACTCTGTTTCACTAGATTTTGTTAAAAAAAAAATTGTAAAAATGGCCCATATTTACATTATCCTTCTGATTCTACACCTGAGTGTTTTAGACCTCGGTGATTTGGTTTGTTTATTTGGAATAACTCACTGGATCCCCCCTGCTCTACCGCGGTCATCCTTGTTTTGGGTGATGCTGTGAACGCTGGAAGATACAGCCAGGCTAAATGGTCATCCGGATGACAAGTATGACACGAAAGCATTTGAAAAGCAATTTGGCTAGTCGCACAAAGTGTTGAACAAAACACGCGTACACGTACACCAGCACAGGGAAGAGCCCCGTGGTAGGCCAATCACCACGGGCCAGTCTAACACCACCATTACGGTCAAGGCTATTACGGTCATCAGTCTAACGCGACGAGGCTACAGGACATTCTTTGAAACACTGAACAATAAATCATGCCGTTATGTGACCGTTCTCCAGTCGCGTTCAGTATTACAAACCGGAAATTAGAGCCGCGCGGCGACAGGTTTAATACCATTTTTATAAATAAATACGTCCAGGAAGTAATCTGTGAACCAAAATGCGACCCGATGAGCGGGTTGTATTCAGTGTTTCTAGCAGCCAAACGAATCGTTAGCTTTATGTGCCGAAATCTGCTCTAGTCACACACAGGATGTTTTATAAAAAAAATAATGGGTTAACATAGGGAAGAGATGACCATGTGTATCCAACAATACCGTAATGCCCTCAGTAAGCGATCAGGGAGTTGATACTCTGTAGTCCAGGTATTAGGATGCAGGGCTACTTTGCATTTTGTGGCAATGCATTAAGGGCATTTTTTTTTTTTTTTTTTTTTTTTTTGTAGAGGTTCGCTGCTGTGGAGAGCCTTG